TCAGTTTGTGAACTAAAATATCTGAATTGGGCGGTTTTAGATTCCGTTCAAAAGGCGGGTCCTGGTTAATTTAAGGTTAATTTTGATATTATATAACACGAATTAAAATTTATTTGTGAAAGTTTAACCAGCCCAACCCTTGTAAAATCTGTCCTCTGTACAGTTTAAAGGAGCTAAATCACTAATATTTGGGACCTAGAAATTGACACTAATGGGTCGCTACGCATATAATAATAATGTAATATGAATATATATAAATTGATTTACATTCAATGGTTTCTGTTTTCACTTTAATTTCAAATCAGTTATGTTCGGCGAAATACGCGAGAAGTCTCAATTGAATGGTAATCTCTAACGTCCGGATATTCAAGTCTACACCTTTAGTATTTATTGCGCATTTTCTCCAGATAAGAATATCGCGCCACCGTTTAACATGACTTGTGGAATATGTCTAGCCTCTTTCTTAGAGTCCCTTATTACAAATGGCGCAGAAACGCATATCGTGTACCAGTGGTAAAATGTTTATTTTGTCTTAAATATTGGATATCAGAAGCCCATCATTTTCCGGAAAGATCAAGGCATCAATGTTGATTTAAAATGACAAATAATTCGTGTTTTCAATGTCGAAGACTTTGGACGATAATGAGTTAGAGACCTAGCTACTTTAAATGTTAATAGCGCTATGGATAATACTAAAGAAAAAAATATTATACAGTAGACTACATAATTATAATAACTATTAACTCTCATGTTAAAATCCTCAATTACTTGTACAGTCAATCTCATAGGTTGCTTAAGTAATTAACAATAATTATTGAAATTAACTTTGAGTGCGTTTCGGTACAGATGTTAATATCATTAGTACTAATCAGGTGTATTTGGGTAGATATGACATATCGGCACAGATGTGAAAAAATGGAGAGAGAGAGAGAGGGGGGAGAGAAATGGGGTTTAACGTCCACTCGACACAAACTAGGTCATTTCGGGACTAACATATGGTTCAATTTTATTTCAATAATTCGATTGTGCGTAGGGGTCTTTAGCAGTGGGAGGAAACCGGAGGACACGAGAGAAATGGGGTTTAACGTCCACGCGACACAAACCAGGTTATTTCGGGACTAACATATGGTTTAATTTTATTTCAATAATTCGATTGTGCGTAGGGGTCTTTAGCAGTGGGGGGAAACCGGAGGACACGAGGTTGGACAGGCGACTATACTCGACCCAATGACAGACCTTATGATACAGCGCGTAGGTGCTAACCATTCGGCCATCCACCCCCCTTCCCCAACCGCAGACGAATTGACTTATACCCGCCTTCATTCAACTCTATTCGCTTTCTTTACTTCAATAAAAAAAACTGTTTTTCTTTCATCAATAGACATGTTGGAATAATAAAATAATCAAGTTATGTGTGAAAAGTATATATAGCTACAAATGTCATTTGCATGGAATTAATGTCAACCTCGTATCTAATGCCAAATAGGAGCGACAAGTCCGGATCGTAGTTTTACTGGGGTGGGTCCATTAATTCACTTATGTATTTTAAATGATTTAATACCCAAATATTTATAATACCCCCATAGAGTGAAAGGCGTGGTTTCACCTTGAAAAGTGTCTAGTCGTTAGGATGGGACCAAAACCCGAGCTCCCCTGTGCACGTCCGCGTGCACGTAAAAGAACCCTTGATAGTTGGAATTCTTAATAAGAGTAGACCGTAGTGCCGATATCCGGACCAAATTTACCTAATAGCACACTGTATGGCGTATGTTCGTCCTCATAAAACCAGTCTCTGCGGAAGTAGTACGTTAAATCCCATTATATTTTACTTAAAGATACATTATGGGAGATTCGATAACGAATTGGCAGAGCTCACTATAATAGTTCAAAACTAGATAATGTAAAGGCAATTTGCTGAAAATTTCAGTCAAATTGATCCACTATGAACCGAGAAATAAGTGATCGAAAGTTCCGCATAGCCTCGGTCATCATTACTAAAGTCGGTACGACAAAAATCATAGTCTCGATTATCCATTTAATCGTTAAATCGAGAAGGAAAGTTATGCAGCAAATCGGATCATAATCCAACAATTATCGCAGGCTAGCGTTGACATCGAGAGTTGATTATGGTCTGGATACGTTAATTAATGTCTAATTAATAGTTTATATAACATTTCATGCCTAAAGAAAGACCTACAAAAGGCAGATTTAGCTCTTGCATAATGTATGTTTTATAATAATAATAATAATAATATCGTTATTGATATAGCGCGTTAATACTAAAAAACAGTTTCTAAGGCGCTGATGGTTTTAATATTCATATTCACAGATCAGGGTTGTGAAACAAGAATGTCTTGGGATTTAAAATGGCCCACAGTTGGTAAAATTGACTGTGGTAGTCCATTCCACAGTAAAAGACCAATATAAGAAAGGGCATGTTTTCAAAGTTGTAAGTTAATAACTGGAGATTTTAGAAGATATTTTTCTCTGAGAACGGAAATTTCTGCTGGTAGTATAGAGTTCTACAAGATAATTTATACATGCATTCTAAATGTTAATTACCCCATCTCAGTCAGAATAAGACCACCCCCTTGTATTTATTGGAAACAGACCACTGACTAATAACCTACAACCTATTACAAATACTTATACAAATATAAACAAAGCTTTTAGTACGTGTAGTAATTACTAACGTGGTATTAAGCAATATACTCATACCATATGGTATACGTTAAATTATAGGTTATTTTACTCTCTAACCTCGGGGGGGGGGGGGGAATGGATGGCCGAATGGTTAGCACGTGCGTGCTGTATCATAAGGCCTGTCATTGAGTCAACTGGCGTGGTTTCGAATCCCCGGTTGTACGTGACAACCTCGTACCTCTACCCATCCACCGGTTTCCTCCCACTGCTAAAGACCCTACGCGCAAGCGAATTATTGAAATAAAATTAAACCATATGTTAGTCCCGAAATGACCTAGTTTTTGGATGTTAAACCCGATTTCTCTCTCTCTCTCTCTCTCTCTCTCTCTCTCTCTAACCTCTGGTCATATTCTCTCCAGTTTACTTTCAAATTCTTATTTGGTCTAAACAATCATTCAAATCCCTCGATTAACCAACATCATAATTATTTTAAACATACATTATGTAAGAGCTAAATCTGCCCATTGCAGGTCTTTCTTTAGACCTTAAATTTTATATAAACTATTATTCAGACATTAATTAACTTACCATGACTATAATCGTTTATTGATGCCATCGGATGTCTGCGAGATAAGTATATTTAAATACTTTTTGTGGTCGATTCGGTTACTGTATAAATGGGTTGGATAATCAAGACTTTGTTTCTTATTGTAACAATGGTAGTAATGATAACCGAGGCTAGACTATAATTTTATCACAGATAGGGAGGTAATTTGACACGGAAATTTTCAGTATATTCTCTTGCCAGTATCTATTTTGTAACTATTATAGCGAGAACATTTCGCTCTGTAACTGAATGTATAAATGACAATCGCGACAAAAAAGGTGTTTCAAGCGAGGCTACAGACAGAAAACCCCTCTGCGAATATCTGGTATTTCTAAATGCACGACTTGATAACGAATATTGCTCAGTTTGTCACTATTTGAATGAACCCTTCATTAAAGCTCGCCACGTAACTTTATATGCGATATGCCATGGTAATGATTTCATTAATTCTGTATGAATTGGTGTAATGTCTTATTCAGCAAATCAGTGATTATTCTACAGTCTAGAAATTACCCCAAATTTGAACAGTTAAATTCTATTTCATTTTATGTAAAATTTTAAAGTGACAATGTTCTTACCCAATGGATATGCCACAAGATATTAAAAGGCAGTACGTTTATAGCTTTATCGATGTATTGCAAATTTCAATCCTTGAGTGTCACTGGCATGTTGAGGATGGTGTATCTTTCTTCATTTACGAGTAGCAAATTTATTTTGAAATTGTCAGCAACCCGATTTGATGTTTCAGTGGTAGATGTGGGATCTAGCCACTTTAAGATATTGAATAATGGCTACGGATGGATGGTCCGGTATAGGAGCTGAATATTCTACTATGCCATTTGGACTTGGGCTCCATGACAGATTAATCCCTCTCTTTAGAGCAAGCCTATATCCCTGTCCACCACTCGCACCCACCCCTCGCCCGATACCCACTCTGCAATCACAATTTGTGTTGACTTTTCGGTCTGGAATTAAACGTAAACAGTCACGGACATACGCCATACAGTGTACTAAAAGAGAAATTTTGTCGGAAAGAGCTACTGCGTTAAAAAAAAATCGAAAATGCTAACCTCCATCAATATTTGTAATAAGTGATTGTCACATTGAGCTCTTTGTGGTTATGAAATGTTAAATAAAATTTCTATAGGCCAAAACAGTTCATGGAATTGATTCAATAGGGATACATTTACTGGTCTGATCCCTGTTAGTAGTAAGATATTAAGAGTTGTCTCCCTTGAGTCCCTTATAGTACACGAACAGTTACTGTACGAGTATCAGTAAAACTGAGAACAATTGACGGTTTAAATTCACAATTCTAAACCACTAATTGAAATGATTTCTCCAACTAAAGATTTATCTGTATTTTAAAAAAGCTTAAAGGTGACAATAGCCACGAGTGTGTTATAATTGTTAGAATTTCATTAAGTGATTAAGCTATAGTATTAGTATAGACTTAAAAAGGCTGTGTGTGCATTTATTTATCGTCATACTTTTAAGATACATTTCTGTGTATAATACCCTTGTTTCCTAAGTTATTGGCATGTTTAAGAAAATTATTTACGTATATTTAACCTCGAGCAATAATAGCCTACACTTTGATTATCGTCTCGAGACAACACACACGCTGCTCTAACTCAGACATGCGCACTAGCATTGATGTGTTAATAATATTTGTAAACATTCTGTTACCGTGTTGAGCCAAATGGGTTTTGAATGTCATGGATATTATAAGTATAATTTAAGATCGCTGTTCAGTGACAAAACAACTTGTATTTTGTGAAAATGCAACTAATAATACTACATCAAGGAATGGCTCGATAAATTTTCCAGCTGATGTAACCCGACGATAGCTCAGTTGGTAGAGCGGAGGACTGTAGTGGTTATCGAAATCTGTCATCCTTAGGTCGATGGTTCAAATCCGTCTCGTCGGAATTTTTTTTTTTTTTTCTTTCATTTTTTTTTCTTATTCTGTAACGAGTTTCTGTAAAATAAATTAATGAAACATAATGATATTCAAATTCATTACATATTATATAGCAAGTGCAGGGGGCCACACCACACACAAACAATTACACAAGACAAGCGTATAGCATAAGTTCGATCCCTGCATTGACCGAGAAAGTTCATCCAGATTTTCCGGCGTGGTTCCCCCTTGTCAGTGATGCAGGGTTGAGGGCCTGACAAGGACAGCTGTCTAGTCGTTCGGATGGGACGAAAAACCGAGGTCCCGTGAACACATTGGCGTGCACGTAAAAGATCCCTTGGCAGTTGGAATTCGATATAAGACTTAAAAGAGTAGGCCGTAGCGCCGCTGCCCGGGCAAAATTTCCCTCATAGCTCACTGTATGGTGTATTCCCGTCTTCATTAGCCCAGGTTAGGAACAGAACAGTAGGACGTTAAACCCCATTTCATTTCATTTCTGTATAGCATAAGCTACATTTCGCTCATTTAGGCAAACGTTAGATGTTTTCCACAGTCTGTAATATTATTCTACACGGCATTGTCGGAACTGAATTTTGTAAGTCAAGTAATGCACACAGGCCAGTAACTAGGGGTGGGGTGGGGGCGCAGGGTGGGCGAACCCCCCCCCACCCCCCATGTACAAATTATGATCCCCCTCCTCCTTGTTAAAATATCGTCGACCATAAAAACAATAGATATACATTGTCCGTCAAGTTTACGGCACCCCTGAGAACACCTCCCGCCCTCCTCGTTGCTCTGAGCTAGTTATGGCCCTGGATGCACAATCTTCTGTTTAAATGAAACGAGGTTTAACGCCCTACTTTTGTTAACCGACTGGGGAAATGAGGCCTGTTTCGAATTCTAACTGTCAATGTTTATATGGAACCTCGGGTTTACGTCCCATCCGAACGACTATACGTCAACCCTTTACCACTGACAACACTCGGCAACTGCAGCTTAATTTTAGTAATGATACCATATTCAGAACAACACTATATGGAGGTCAAGTGCACCGTTAACGTGCACGTAAAAAAAATCCGTGACAGTTGGAATTCGATATAGGCCTCGAATCTGCTGCCCAGACACAATATCCCCTATAGCACTGAATGACATACGCCCGTCTCGGTGTAGGATAGTGGGACCTTTATCATAGCCTATACTATACTATAGTTGTCGTAGAGGCGGTACCAGATGACGATAATGTGACTTTGGTGTAAAAGTAATAATGGAACACATGAAGTTTTTTCATATTAATTAACATCATTTCCCTTATTGGCGAAATAAATGAAATGAAATGGGGTTTAACGTCCTACTGTTCTGCTCCGAACTGGGTTAATAAAGACGGGCATCTGCCATAGTGTGCTATCGGGGAAATTTTGCCCGGACAGCGGCACTACTTACTCTTATGTCGAATTCCAACTGCCAATGGATCTTTTACGTGCACGCCAATGTGTACACCTGACATCGGTTTTTCGTCCCATCCGAACGACTAAATAGCTGTCCTTGTCAGGCCCTCCGTCCTACATCACTGACAAGGGGGAGCCACGCCGGAAAATCTGGATGAACTTTCTCAGCCAATGCATGGATCGAACACCCGACCTCCAGTCTAGCGAGCCAGCGCCTTGCCCAATTAGCCACTCTTATTGACGAACAAGATAATTGGAATCAATCAAAACAGTAGGCCGTCCACATTTCCTAACCCTTTCTTTAACAGCTTAATCATATTGAAACAGGGTGATGTTCATTTGACAATTATCATCGGGATTTTCCGGCGTGGTTTCCACTTATCAGTGGTGCAGGATGAAGGGCCTGGCAAGGACAGCATTCTAGTCGTTCGGATTGTACGAACAGCCGAGGTCCTGAGTAAATACTGGCGTGTACGCAAAAGATCTCTTTGCAGTTGGAATTCGATATAAAAATCGGTCATAGCGCCGCTGTCCGGGCAAAATTTCCATCATAGCACACTGTATGGCGATGCATTAATAATTAAGCAGTAATTACAGTATATTCCATAGAATTGTGACCCGTATATTCCAGTTCAATTACTTAATGCCATTCAAACAATTTATAAGACATCAGGGCCCTGTTTCACGAAATTTTAACTAAAGATAAAATCCAAATTTTAGTAGATACTTCAATTTTGATTGGCTAAGGACTAATATCAATCTAATATTATCCAATCAAATTACTAAAATTTGGATTTTATCTTAGTTAAAATTTCGTGAAACAGGCCCCCGTATGGAGATGTGGCAGTTAAACTCATCGGTCAAATACGGAAAAGAGAAGGAATATATACTTAATTATATTGCAACTGGATGATGCTTGTTTCACAAATCAACTCCTAAATCCATGGTGGAAATACAGTGCTTATTACTGCTAATATTATACGTTACGTGTCCTGTGTGAATTAGCTGTATTCTTATGTAACCTACCATGAAGGAATCCAAGTCTTCTGTTCGATAGAGCTTGAGAAATATTAGGCCACAATAAAACATACCCATGCTTACGGTTACCAGGGCGACCATATTTTTTAGCAGACATCGCCGACCGTAAACTTTGTTTCCACAATTCCCAACCCTACGACTAATTTCAACACTGACATTTCTGTATTATATTGAAGAACCGTACTCAGTAATTAAGCCCAAAATACCAATAATACGTAATACAAACGTCACAAAAAAAAAGATACAAATAAATTCCGACCGAACGGCACCATTTTGCCTGGCCAAATAGACCTACATGTAACCATAAACACAGGTATATTTTTCTAGGCCTTTGTATTTGTTAGACCTGTTGGTCGAATATGATAATATGATATTGATAAATCGCAACAGCTGTGCATCAAACACATAACTCTATAATTTGGTGCAGGAATGTTAACGTAAATAGCACAATATATTATTTGATTTCAACGATCCTGGTCATATCAAATATCTAATGTCTTTATCCACTCAAAAATGTACCGAAACTGATTATTTAAACATACATTATGCAAGAGCTAAATCTGCCAATTGCAGGTCTTTCTCTAAGCCTGAAATGTTATCTAAATTATTAATTAGACCTTAATTAACTTTTCCAGACCATAATCAACTCTCGATGGCATCGCTAGCCTGTGATATTTACTGGATTATGATCCCATTTGCTGCTTGACTTCCATTGATAATTTAATCATGAAATGGATGACCGAGACTTTAGTAATGATGATCAAGTCTAGGTCGAAATTTCAATCGCTTAATTCTCGGTTCATAGTGGATATATTTGACTGAATTTTTTTCAGCAAATTGCCTTTACATTATCTAGTTTTTAGCTATTATAGTGAGAACTTCCAGCTCTTTATCTTATCTTCTATAATGTATCTTTAATAAATGAAATAAAATGAAATAGGGTTTAACGTCCTACTGTTTTGCTCCGAACTGGGCTAATGAAGACGGGCATACACCATACAGTGTGCTATGAGGGAAATTATGCCCGGACAGCGGCACTACGGCCTACTCTTAAATCGAATACCAACCGTCAAGGGATCTTTTACGTGCACGCCAATGTGTACACGGGACCTCGGTTTTTCGTCTCATCCGAATGACTAGACAGCTGTCATTGTCAGGCCCTCCGTCCTGCAACACTGACAAGGGGGAACCACGCCGGAAAATCTGGATGAACTTTCTCGGCCAATGCAGGGATCGAACACCGTATCTTTAATAAGAAAATAAAATAAAATTTTAGTAGATAGTTTTCCTGTTTGAATTCAATCGGATTAAAAAGAGGCCCATCAAATGATTTGATTACATGTTTATACTAACGGTTGACCCGGCGTAGCACGTGTATAGACATGAACCGGAAGCAGCATAACTCCGAAACCGGAAGTGATAGTCCATCGCCACTATCGTTTGTTTGTCTGTCTGTCAGTCTGCCCAGGGTTGGCGGCTACACTAGGGCTGTCCCGAGGCTGAAATTTAGTATAGATAATAATGATGAAGAACTTTCAATCTTTGTGCGTATTGAGCAGAATGGTAAACATTTAACCGATATACTTTTCACAATAAGAACACTGAATAAAGAGCTGTTTTGTCTTCCATAGCCAGCAGCTTAACAAACGTGATCCTATTTTCGTCCAGGTCGGAGCAGAACAGTAGGACGTTAAACTCCATTTCATTTCATCTTTCCGTTTAAATCTACGTGGGCGAATGGTAAACGTGTGCGCGTTGCATCATAAGGTCCAATTGAGTCAAGTGGCATGGCTTCGATTCCCTGCTTCTACGGTCGTCCGGTTTCCTCTCACTGTTAAAGACCAGTACGCTCAAGTAGATTATCGAAATAAAACTAAACCATATGTAAGTTCCGAAATGATGTTTGTGTCGAGTGTACGTTAAACCTCATCTCTCTCTCTCTCTCTCTCATTATATCTATGCGACTGGACACCGTGCCTTGCCCGGCTTCCTTACCACACGAATGACAAGAAGGAAACCGCGCTGGAAACAACTTCGGTTTACGACTGTCTTTCCTGAGAGACCATTTCCACCGATATGTTCGTTTGATTTCATAGCTATATACTGATCGAGTTTTGTGACTAGGTGATTCCAAATTGTGTCAGTTGATTAGCCGAATCTTTTCAGTTCTTTTAGTGGTAAGGTTGGTTTGTATTGACGGCAGCAATGTTACTTGTTAATCAAGAATCAGCCTAGCTTCTCCATTTTCAAATTAAATCATTAAATGATTATCGTATTTTAATCCGTTTACATCTATTATGACAGGAATTCTTTACATTGGATCAAAAATAAAATTGTCGATTTGAATTAATCCAGAATCTGACTATGGTTCTGTAGGAAAGTTTGAGCAGGGAGAATCTTTTTGAAGAAATGTTTAGTGGGTGCCGAAGACGGCCATGGTCTACTCTTATGTTGAGTTTCAATTTCCAAGAGATCTTTTACGTGCACGCCAATGTGTACATTGTTATCTCGGTGTTTCGTCCCATCCGAACAACTAGACAGCTGTCCTTGTCAGGCCCCTCAGCTTTCACAGCCAACACCGGGATCGAACCAGCGACTCCCAGGATAGGAAATGCATTGCGGTTTGCGGACTAATGATGTCGCGGATACGCCATACAGAAATGTGCTATGAGGAACATTTTGCCCGGACAGCCTTCTCTTCGTTGATTTCCTGCTGCAAAGTTCTTTAACCATCCGAACGACTAGACGTTGTTTCTTGGCAGCCCCTCAGTCTATCCTGCACCAGTTACAAGAAGTACCCCGATGAACTTTCTGGGCCAACACGGGGATCTCACTATGGACACCCTTGATCAGTGATTCTCAACCTGTGTGCAGATGTGCCGCGAGATCTTCCTAAGTATGCCGCGAAATGTTTAATGGCACACTAAGAAAATGCGAAAAACCAGGTGATCCTAATTGAGTATTCACTGGTGTCTACTGATCAGTTCATAGCTGTGTTTTTCTTTATTCAGTTTGAGTCATTCTATGTGTTTATGACTAGTCTGTGTCTACGGTTGTATGCCGTCTATGACTTGCCATGTTTTAATTTTGCAAAATTCAAATATTTTTCATATATATTTAGCCAGGTGTGCCTCTATTTTGTCATGTGTTCCAAGGTGTGCCGTTGGCAAAAAAGGGTTGAGAACCAATGCCCTAGATAGTGAACAACCACCGCCTTACTCACACGTGCAGTTTATCTGGAACATAGACCATGTTGGTCAAATAGAAACTTACGACAAACCTTGAATTCTGTACAAAGTACCGAGAAAGGTCTGTCCGACTTTTATAGTTTTAGGAAATTCTAAGACATTCCAAGATAGAAAATGAATTAAACGAAACCTTAGTAAATAAATGGGATTATACAATATGATTATTGTATGCATACCTCTTGTATTCCTTTCATACCTCTAGCTATCTTAATGCTTTGTTTTGTTTTTGTTTAGTTTTTTGGGGTTTTTTTTTTTTTTTTGCTTTTACTTTTTTGTGTTTCCGTTTGTTATACTAAATGAATTATAGAAAAAAATATAGTACAACTTTCAATATTAAATCAGTGTTTTGTATGATAATTGTTTTGAAATTTTAATGTGATTCTAAGATATGATGTTACACACTTTGAATGTAATGCTAAGATATGATGTTACACGCTGTGAATGTAATGTGAACCATGTACTATGTCGTTTTATTGATTATTAAACAAGGACTTTATCTTCATCTTTTTTTTTAAAAAAAAGAAAATTTTTCTGGAACCCTCCAGAACCTTCCAATTATTTCTGAACACGGTTTCCAGAAAGTTTCGTGAAAGAAGTTTTCAAATGACGATTCTAGAAAGTTCGTCCATCTAAAAGGGTAATAAACGATATATTTCGATGCATTACCAAGACCTCATCACATTCTGGAAAACTTTTATCATTCAGGGCCCATGTCATCATCACCGGAAGTAATAATACATCATCAGATCAACACAGGACACCATTAATTCCTACAAATTTGGGGAGCCACGTTGGCTCAGTGAGTAGGACTTGAAGATCCCGTGTTCCTATCCCTGCGTTGGCCGAGAAAGTTCATCGGGCTTTTCGGCGCTGTGTCCACTTGTCAGTATAGTCGTTCGGATGGGACACAATATCGAGGTTCTGTGTACACATTAGTGTGTACGTCAAAGAGCCCTTGACAGTTGGTATTCGAAATAAGAGTAGGGCATAGCGCCGTTGTCCTGACAAAAATGCCATCATTGCACACTGCATGGCGTATGCCCGTCTTCATTAGCCCAGTAGGAGCAGAACAGTAGGACGTTAAGTCCCATTTCATTTCATTTCCTACAAATTTGAGAGTTTAACGTCCACCCGACACAAACTAGGTCATTTCGGGACTAACATAAAGTTCAATTGAATTTCAATAAGTCACTTGCGCGTTGGGATCTTTAGCAGTGGGATGAAACCGGAGGACCCGGACAAAAAGGGGGGCTTGATGGCCGGTCATTGAGTTAACTGCCGTGGTTTCGAATCCCCGGTTGTACGTGACAAGGAGTGGGGTTGCCTGTCCAAGCCAGTCATAGAGACGCGAATTTACATTAAAGTCAATGGAGAAATCAGTTGTGTACTGTGGACAAATACTTTATTTTGACCTAATTCAAGAGGTTCTGACCTAATTCAAGAGGTTCAGCTTTATCCTTGAATTAGTGACACATTTCATGACCATCCTCAAATTTCCCAGTATGTGCGACCGCTATAAATATGCATAATATGAAAATCTTGTATCTATGGGTTTCGCTTATTCGTCTCCATGACAATAAAACAAATAGCTAGTGTGATTTTAAAGCATTGTTCGTTTAGATATCTTGATCACCAAAAATACATAAATAGCCGTTTGAAAGGTGAATCCTTAGACAACAATGAAGGCCACTCTTGCTCAGTTAATGCGAGGGCGTACAGCGGGCAACCTGATTTCAATGGCAA